CAAAAAAAAAAAAAGACAAACTCCCTTAAAAATCTATTATCCAATTACAATCCAAGGACAGCTTGGGGAAGATACAAATTAAAGCAATCACATCACTTTATGACTTTTTAAAAAGTTTTTTTCTAAGATTCTAAGTAGCCTTGAAGTCCCGAACTACTACTTATTAAAGTTCTTTTAAATATTAACATTCTGTTACACATACAGATGCAATGGAAAGAAGAACTTGCACAGATTTTGGAAAAATCCTTTTTTTAAAAAAATGAGGTAAAATGGCAAATAGCGATTTCCGTAATTTATTATTTATTTATTTATTTCAAGCTACCCAAAGGCCTGGCCCCATAACCACATTTTCAATTTTCTCCTGAAGCTGAGAAGGGACGTTGCTGACCTGATTTCACCAGGGAGGGAGTTCTACAGGTGGGGGACCACCACCAAGAAGGCCCTGGCCCTCGTCCCCACCAAGCGTATTTGCGCCAAAGGCGAGGCCAAGAGCAGGGCCTCCCCAGAAGATCTTAAATTTTGAAGTGAGATGCAGATGCAGATACGTTCTGACAGGTAAGCTGGGCCAGAGCCGTATAGAGCCATAATTATGGAGATCTTTCCCCATCGATATCAAAAACAGAAATGGCAGTCGCTCTCATCATGAAAGGTCTCAGAGAACTCAGAGAAGCTATTAAGCGATGTAAAACTGGTAAAGCATCCGGCCTAGATGATTTAATGATGGAGCAAATCAAACACTTGGGGCCCAAAGCTGAAAACCGGCTTTTGGATTTTTACAATCAATGCCTGGCACACAAACGGATTCCCAGACTATGGAGGAAAACTAAGATAATTGCCATTTTAAATCCTGGTAAAGACGCTTCCAATGCCAGGAACTACCGGCCTATCTCACTCCTATGTCATCTATATAAAGTATATGAGAGGATACTACTAAATCGATTAGGACCTGTTATTGAACCCCAGCTTATTGCAGAACAAGCAGGTTTCAGACCAGGGAAAAACTGTACAGCCCAAATTCTTAATCTGACCGAGTACATCGAGGAAGGATATGAGAAAGGTTGCATTACTGGAACAGCTTTTGTCGACCTTACAGCCGCCTATGACATGGTGCAGCATAGGAAAATGTTGCAGAAAGTCTACTGTATTACCCGAGACTATAATTTTACAAAAACTATCCAGACTCTCCTAGAAAACTGTAGCTTCTATGTGGAATTTCAGGGCAGGAAAAGTAGATGGTTTACCCCAAAGCAGCGTTCTTGCACCCACCTTGTTTAATATCTTTATTAACGATCAGCCACAACCACCACTCACAAAGAGCTGATGATCTTGGCCTAACAACACAAGCAAAAGACTTTGAAACAGTTGAAACCCAATTTACGAATGCCTTGAAAGATCTCTCCAGCTACTACAAAGATAACCATCTGAAGCCTAATCCTGCCAAAACAGAAGCATGTGCTTTACACCTACGCAACCGTGAAGCCAACAGGAAATTGAAAGTCACCTGGGAAGTTCAAGAGCTTGAACATTAGGTTCTTGTGGGTTTTTTCGGGCTATAGAGCCATGTTCTAGAGGCATTTCTCCTGACGTTTCGCCTGCATCTATGGCAAGCATCCTCAGAGGTAGTGAGGTCTGTTGGAAGTAGGAAAATGGGTTTATATATCTGTGGAATGGCTGGGGTGGGGCAAGGAGCTCTTCCCTGCTGCAGTTAGGTGTGAATGTTTAGCTGATCACCTTCATTAGCATTTGAAGGCCTGCCTGAGCCTGGGAAAATCTGTTGATGGGAGGTGTTAATCTGTGCCTGGTTTTTTCCTCTCTGTTGTTTAGCTGTTATAATTTTAGAGTTTTTTAATACTGGTAGCCAGATTTTGTTCATTTTCATGGTCTCTTCCTTTCTCTGTTGAAATTGTCCACATGCTTGTGGATTTCAATGGCTTCTCTGTGTAGTCTGACATGGTGGTTGTTGGTGTGGTCCAGCATTTCTGTGTTCTCAAATAATATGCTGTGTCCAGGCTGGGTCATCAGGTGCTCTGCTATGGCTGACTTCTCTGGTTGAAGTAGTCTGCAGTGCCTTTCATGTTCCTTGATGCGTGTCTGGGCGCTGCGTTTGGTGGTCCCTATGTAGACTTGTCCACAGCTGCATGGTATACAGTAGACTCCTGCAGAGGTGAGAGGATCCCTCTTGTCCTTTGCTGAACGTAGCATTTGTTGGATTTTCTTGGTGGGTTTGTAGATTGTTTGTATGTTGTGTTTCCTCATCAGCTTCCCTATGCGATCGGTGGTTCCCTTGATGTCGCATAGGGAAGCTGATGAGGAAACACAACATACAAACAATCTACAAACCCACCAAGAAAATCCAACAAATGCTCCGTTCAGCAAAGGACAAGAGGGATCCTCTCACCTCTGCAGGAGTCTACCGTGTACCATGCAGCTGTGGACAAGTCTACATAGGGACCACCAAACGCAGCGCCCAGACACGCATCAAGGAACATGAAAGGCACTGCAGACTACTTCAACCAGAGAAGTCAGCCATAGCAGAGCACCTGATGAACCGGCCTGGACACAGCATATTATTTGAGAACACAGAAATGCTGGACCACACCAACAACCACCATGTCAGACTACACAGAGAAGCCATTGAAATCCACAAGCATGTGGACAATTTCAACAGAAAGGAAGAGACCATGAAAATGAACAAAATCTGGCTACCAGTATTAAAAAAACTCTAAAATCATAACAGCTAAACAACAGAGAGGAAAAAACCAGGCACAGATTAACACCTCCCAGCAACAGATTTTCCCAGGCTCAGGCAGGCCTTCAAATGCTAATGAAGGTGATCAGCTAAACATTCACACCTAACTGCAGCAGGGAAGAGCTCCTTGCCCCACCCCAGCCATTTCACAGATATATAAACCCATTTTTCCTACTTCCAACAGACCTCACACCTCTGAGGATGCTTGCCATAGATGCAGGCGAAACGTCAGGAGAAATGCCTCTAGAACATGGCTCTATAGCCCGAAAAAACCCACAAGAACCTAGTGATTCCAGCCATGAAAGCCTTCGACAATACAGCTTGAACATTGTTTCCATCCTAAATATCTTGGTGTCACCTTAGATTGAACACTAGCATATAGGAAACACTGCTTGAACACCAAGCACAAAGTAGCTGCATGCAATAACATCCTGCGGAAACTTACTGGCAGCACATGGGGTGCAGACCCAAAATTAATAAGAACATCAGCCCTAGCCTTGTCTTACTCAACTGCTGAGTATGCCTGCCCTGTTTTGCATAAGTCTACCATGCAAAGCAGGGGAACATAGCATTGAATGAAACATGCAGAATAATCACAGGATGTGTTAAACCTACACCTGTTGATAAATCTACAAGGTAGCTGGCATTACCCCCCCCCCCCGATGTGCAGCAGGAAGTTGCTGCTAAATGTGAGAGAAATAAGATTGAACAGTGTGAAAGCCACCCACTACATGGCTACCAGATTCCTCCCAGTAGACTCAAATCAAGGGAAAGCTTTATGAGAACTACCACTCCTCTTGGCGTCCCCCCAGCAACAGTAAGGGTATCCCTCTGGGCAGCTAAACCAGGAAATCCCAACTGGATGCCCCCCCATGAGGGTCTTCCTCCAGGGTCAAACTAAGAATGGGCAACTTGGAAGTCCCTGAACAGACTCAGAAGTGGAGTGGGAAGATCAAAAGACAACCTGGCAAAATGGCACTACCTAAAAGAATTCTCCTTGTGTGACTGTGGAGCAGAACAGACAACTCTGCATCTGTATGCTTGTCCATTGTGCCCTGCCTTGTGTACAGAGGAGGAATTGTTGGAGGCTACAGACAATGCCGTTGCTGTTGCCCATTTTTATTTATTTATTTATTTACTTACTTTGCTTCTATACTGCTGTTCTCAGCCCAGGGGCGACTCACAGCGGTGTACAACATGGGAAGAACAAAATACAAAACACAGTATAAAAACAATTCTCAAACCATTATGCAAAAAACATTATACAAAAAGCACTATACAAACATTGTCATTACTACGAAAACCATTCAGCGTCGTCTCATCGTCCAAACCACAATCCAATATCATTTTTCGTTATTCCATTCCTATAGTCATTACCAATCATTGCACTTCTTGTTCGAACGCCTTCTTGAACAACCAGGTTTTTAATTTTTTGCGGAATATCAACAGGGAAGGAGCCTGTCTGATGTCCACGGGAAGGGCGTTCCACAGCCGAGGGGCCACCACCGAAAAGGCCCTATCTCTCGTCCCCGCCAGCCGTGCTTGTGAAGCAGGCGGGATTGAGAGCAGGGCCTCCCCGGAAGATCTCAAAGTCCTGGTGGGCTCGTAGGTCGAGATGCGGTCGGAAGATATTTAGCCAGCTGTGCTCCTTCTATTTTTTATCAGTTTTATACTATTTTATGCAATGCTTTTGATTTGAAATAAATTTATTTATTTATTTTTGACTCTTCTCTGAAAGGTCATGCTTTTCTAAAAGGCATGATCTCCAAAAGGTTATGGATTCCGTTTTCCAAAAGGGTTAAGGCTTCTCCCGAGGGATCACGGGAGTGGTAGGCCTCAGAGGATCATGGGAGTTGTAGGCGGATGCCCAGGAGGCTCTCCCCGCGCCATGGCTGCCTGCTTTCCGCTGAGGTAAGGCACCCCGTTCTCCGGCCCTCTCCCTTCCCCTTCCCCTGGAGGCGAGGCGAGGAGGGCTGGATCCCCCGGGGCTGGCCGGGGAAGAGGCCGGAGGGGCGCCTCGGAAACAGGAGGAAAGCCCACGCCAGAAAGTTCCCACTTGTTGCTGCCTGCGCTCCCTGCCATTCCCGGCCTTCTCCTCTCAGGCAGAGCGGGCCAGACTCCCCCAAACACCCCTCGTTGTGCAGGAAAGGCGTTGCTGGGTCTTCGAGGCGCGTGCCCCCTACACTTGGTGTTTTGGACTCCATTTCCCAGAATCCCCCGCTGTCCGCCAAACAAGCCGGGGCTTCTGGGAGTTGGAGTCCAAAGCAACTCGAGGGTCGAAGGAAGCCGTTTCCTCGCCATTTCTCCCCCTGGGATCCCCTCCCTCCTGTGTCTCGGAGTGAAACCTTTCCGAAGTGGATCGGATCTGGTGCGGTTTACTTTTGTTGTTGTTGTGCTCGTCTAAAAACTACAGAGAGGGCGGGGAGGCTTCCTGTCTGGAGCAACCTGTTAGAGGACTACAGTAAACAACAAGGGAAGAAAGGGTGGCAGGGCAAGGCAAGGCTTGGCTTTCCCTTGTATGGGCCAAGCAGCCGGTTGGGAGGAAATCTCAAAGCAGATCATCCACAATATCTGCTCTGAACTGGATGGTCTACATATAATATAATGATATAGTACATTACATACAATATCGTGGTGTAGTACAATATAGTAATAGAAAATACTGATATTGTACTATGCTAATAATATATGTATAAATAAAAATGTAATGTTCGCTTGTGGGATTAACAGAACTCAAAAACCACTGGACAAATTGACACCAAATTTGACCACAAGACATCTAACAACCCAACGTAGGTCCTTCACTCAAAAAAATGATTTTGTCATTTGGGAGTTGTAGTTGCTGGGATTTATAGTTCACCTACAATCAAAGAGCATTCTGAACTCCACCAATGATGGAATTGAACCAATCTTGGGACACAGAACTCCCATGACTAACAGAAAATACTGGGAGGGTTTGGTGGGCATTGACCTTGTGTTTGGGAGTTGTAGTTCACCTACATCCAGAGACTACTATGGACTCAAACAATGATGGATCTGGACCAAACTTGGCATGAATATTCCATACGCCCAAATATGAACACAGATGGAGTTTGGGGGGAAATAGATCTTGACATTTGAGAGTTGTAGTTACTGGGATTTATAGTTCACGTACAATCAAAGAGCATTCTGAATCCCACCAATGACAGAATTGGGTCAAACTTCCCACACAGAACTCCCATGACCAACAGAAAATACTTAAGGCCATTCAGTCCAACTCCCTTCACCAGGGCAAGAAAATCAAAGCCTTCCTGACAAAGAACCATCCAGCCATAGATATAGATAGATAGATATGATTCACACACACACACACACAGATATAGTATACTAGATTTGAAAGGGACCCCTAAAGAAGGACAATTATATGTTGCATGTTCCAGAGTAGGCAAACCAGACAAGCTCCACATCAACACTGACAAAGAAACAGCAAAAAAATACTGTTTACCCACAAGCATAAAAACATTACATAGATTAGAAACCAAAACTTTCTCATTACTTTATTTTCCAGATCATCAGACTGGGCCACAGCAACGCGTGGCAGGGGACGTCTAGTAACATAATATATTGTATGTATTTATATCTTGTAAGCTGCTCTGAGTCCCCTTTGGGGTGAGAAGGGCGGCATATAAATGTTGTAAATGAATAAATATCTAAGGCCCCTTCCACACCGCTGTATAAAATCCACATTGAACTGGATTATATGGCAGTGTAGACTCAGATAACCCAGTTTAACACAGATATTGTGGATCATCTGCCTTGATATTCTGGGTTATATGACTATGTGGAAGGGCCCCGAGTCCACACTGCCATATAATCCAGTTCAATGTGGGTTTTTTAACAGCTATGTCGAAGGGGCCTTTGTCTTCTGTAGTTGCAGGAAAATGTTGCCTGCCAGTAGCTCTACTGGGATAAAATGTTCAAGGTCAGGTCTTAATCCCTTTCACTATCAGGGATCAGCCTCTGCAGCCCAATCCCTCTGCCTCTGTAATCGGGAGGAAGGCAGTCTGGGTTCAGTGCAGATCACTCCCTTGTCAACTGGCCTGGCCTTATACTGCCTTTGGCCCCTTTCAGTGCAGTTCAAGCCAGCAGCCCGATGACAAACTCCCACAAGAGTATGCAAAAGAAAGCTCTAAATGTGCATCAGTACTCTCTAGTTTGTGCCATCCCCACCCAGGCCTCAAGCTGGTTCCAGGATTTCCTGTGGAATCATCCCACAAGGATGGTAAAACATCAAAACATCCAGGCGTTCCCTGGGCAACATTCTTGCAGATGGCCAATTTTTTTCACACCAGAAGTGACTTGCAGTTTCTCAAGTAGCTCCTGGTACGAAAAAAAAATCCACACAGTGAAATTGCTTTGAAACTGGAGGTTTTTAAGAAGGGGCTGGGTGGCCATCTGTTGTGAGTGCTTTGATTGTGTGTTCCTACCTGGCATGGGGTTGGACTGGATGGCTCTTGGAGTCACTTCCAAATCTAGGATTCAATGATTCTATAAATCAGACCTGCACAAACTGCAGCCCTCCAAGTGTTTTGGACTTCAGCTCCCAGAATTCCTGACCATTCGACAAGCTTGCTATGGCTTCTGCTAGTTGGAAGTCCTCAACAACTGAAAGGCTGCTAGAAATGATCAGTGTAGATAGGTATTTGCAAGCTGGCATAGTGTAGTGCAACATAGCGAACTATCACTCTGGAGAACAGGGTTCAAATTCTGCTCGGCCATGAAAACCCATTGTGTGACCTTTGGGCAAGCCTCAGAAAAGCCCATGATAAGGTCACCTTACTGAATGCCATATGCTGAAAACAACCTGAAAACATTCAGTAATCAAAGTTTTTGAGCTCCCTCTACCTATATACAGGTATAGGGCCCCTGGCTTTAAAATAGTCCAAATGAAAGGGATCTAGGAGTCTTAATAGACCACAACCTGAACAAGAGAGGAGCATAATGTCTAGATTAGTAGTTCCCAACCTTTTTTTGACCAGGGACCACTTGACCAGGGACCACTCTCCAACATTAGTACCAAAAGGGTTACTAATCAGTTTTTCATCATCTTTAGATTCGGTTTGGTTATTTGGGGTGCTGATTCAGAAAATTGCATTGTACAGACAACATCAGCTCTAGTTTCTGAAACAGAACATATGCCATCCAGTAGTCACCATCTGCTTGCCCACAAAAAACATATTTTATAAGCCTTGGCACTATAAGAGGGTTTTGCAAGACCAGTCGCTATCACTGCAACGGTGTCATAATTGTGAGCCCACGGACTATATTTTAGTTCTTGTGGACCAGTGGTTTTCCACGGACCATAGGTTGGGAACCACTGGTCTAGATAGAAGGAATTTATAGTCCCACTCTATTCTGTGTAGGTCAGACATCACCTGAAATACTGTTTTGAGCACACAATTCAGGAAAGATATTAGCCAGATAGATTGTCTCCAGAGGAAAGGGACTAAAATGATCAAAGATCTGAAAGCCAATCTCTGTGAGCAGCAGCTGAAGAAGTTGGATATGTTTAGTTTGGAGAAGAGAAGGCTGAGAGTGGACATGCTTGTTATGTTTAACCATTTGAAAAGATGCCACATCGAGGAAGGAGCAAGCTTGTTTACTGCTGCTCTAGAGACTGGGCCATGGAACAATAGATTCAAACTGCATGAAAAGAGGCTCCACCTAAACATTAGGAAGAAAGTCCTGGTGGTAATTGTTGTTTGACAGTGGCATATGCTGCCTTGGAGTGTGGAGGAGTCTCCTTCTCTGGAGGTTTTTAAGCAGACTGAAAGGCCATCTGTCAGGAGTGCTTTGTATATTCCCACATGACAAGGAGTTGTACTGGATAGCTCTTATGGTCTTTTCCAACTGTGATTTTATACTGTCTCCGAGGCCCTGTCTATACTGCCATATAAAATCCAGATTATCTGTTTTGAACTGGATTATATATGTCTACAGTGCCATATATTCCAGTTCAAAGCAGATAATCTGGATTTTATATGGCAGTGCTGATGAAGCCCTAAACTGTGTCTTCTTATTTTGTGTGATTGTTCCTGTGACTTTATAAACAAATGCTCAATTTTCTCCTTCCATACTCTTTGTGTGTTTACGTGTGCTGCCTTTTCGCCAGTGAGCCCACATTGGAGGCTATGTCCCTTTCTCCCAATTCATCCTCCCAGTAGCCCTGTAAGCAAACTTCGTAACTGAAAATGCTAAGTACACCATCTCTTTTCTGCTGTCATTTTGTCCCCAACAACAGGATTTTCAAACTATCCATTCCAGTGCAGTGCACTTCAAGCTATATTCTCTCACCCTCGATCAGGGCTTGTCCAGTTCAAACAGATCTAGAGAGCATTTTATGTACTCTTTTTTGTCCCACCTTTCTCCATATCTAGGAACTCAGAGCTGCTAACTTTGTTGTTGATATATTATTTACACTTCAGAATAGAATAAGGCAAGTTGGATGTAGATTTTAAGTACCTCTAACGCTGTTCATTTTTGGCAGCTTTGTCTTTAGCAGTCATTTTGTTGTGAGTAAACTGCTGGTGAATCCAAAAGGGTGTTTCAGCCCTTCCACGTCACTTGATTTTTTAAAAATTGCTGACAAATAAACATTTCTCACTCTCTTAATCCTACAGGCCTAGTTCAGTACAGAGTAGAGGGTGGAGTTTGCCATTGCTAAAGCCAATGAGATTGTTGTAATATATGGGAATGTAGCTATCCTCGTCCCGGCAGCTGCTTTATGACTCATGTCTGATAGCCAGATGTAAGAACAGCCGTTTTGGTGGACGGAAATCACCTGTTTGGCATATAGTTTGATGTAAAAAAAAACAGCAGCCAAATTTAAGTTAGCACCTTTGTGTATGTAGTTAAATTTATTTCATATTTAAAAGTTGCAGAAAAAAATCCTCTTTATGCTTCGTGTTGCCTGTGCTTTGTTCCAAAACTTTTTTTTTGCCCGTATAAAATTTCACATATTTGATGGTTGCAGATGATATATCAAATGTTCTGGGCTCAGAACCCACCAGTGAATTTAATAGTTTACAGAGAAGATATTCCATTATTTATTGGAGTGCATTTTTAAATACCACTATTAGATATTTCAAAAAATATTTTGATCAGTCAAAATCTACATGTTAAGGTAAAGGTTTCCCTTTGACATCCAGTCTAGTTGTGTCTGACTCTGGGGGGTGGTGCTCATCTCCATTGCTAAGCCGAAGAGCCAGCATTGTCCATAGACACTTTCTAGGTCATGTGACCAGCATGACTGCCGGAATCTACTCACATTTGCATGTTTTTGAACTGCTAGGTTGGTAGAAGCTGGCCTAACAACAGGAACTCACCCCA